ACCACCAAACTTGACCCATTCTGACCAAAGGATGAGTGCAGTGTTCCTACCCCTCCTCTTTTTATAGACACTGAGTGTTTTTAAAACAATGAGTTTTGAGAATTGGTGACCTTGATTTCCAAACTGTGCTTTACAGTGACAAAGATTGCTATTGGGTAGTTACTCTTTGGCCTCTCCCTGATGTAGATTCATCCACTTGCCACAGCATTTTGTAGGGAGCCGTACAAGCTTAAGAAAAATGCTTCACTCTTGTCTTGATGATAGAAATCGCTTCTCAGCACTAGTAAAATAGTGCTAACTTTTCATTCCTTCTGGCAGTTTTTAAAGACTTATTTGACTTTGGGGGAACCTGCATTCTATCTCTAAGTAACAGTTCAAAAGTATAAGACAAGACTGCTCATTTTCAATTTTGGCTGAAAAGTCTTAACTTTGTAGCACTTCAAAGTTAAGAGAAAACTTGGTTTAAAAATGGATGCTGATATGAGATGGCATATTTAATGACAGATATATCTATAGAAAGCTGTTAAGATGCAGATTATCCCCCCTGGGGTGGGGGAGGGAGATCAAAACTGCCAATCTATAAAATATACTCGATAGAGGAAAGCATGGAATCTATCTTTGCAAGTGCTTTGATTGCAGGGGACAGTATAGCAGCATGTGGCATCGTAACCCAGAGCAGGCAAATCAGCTTGATGACTTTCAAAGCCAGGAATACCGCTGCAGGCAAGGGTACTCCAGTGTAGGAGAAATTAAAACATATAGAGACTGTTATTAATTCCATATCTATTTTTGTATAGTCAAATCTGTATGCAAATCCTTAGCATCTCATTTCAGCAGATTAATCTAAAAGTGAAGAGTGTTATGTGAAGGGAATGACAAAGCTCTGCAAAGAGTAACTGGAAAGGAAACACAGGCTGAAAACTTGGATCCTTCTTGAAAAAGTTATTTTTTTTGTACTGAGGACATTTTAATTTATATGTTGATTTGTAAATTATTTCAAAGGAGAAAGCAGTACAGCTCATTTCCAAGATTTTCCTTTGCAATCCTGACATGGCAGAAGTTAGAGCACTGTTTGTTAGGCACCCCCTGTGGTCTCCCATTCTCGAGGTAATGAACAAAATAACTAACTAGGACTTTTAATTTTTGCTCTCAACTTGTAATCTAATATCTCATTTCTAAACATTGTCATGTGGGTGAAAATTTGTATGTAAGGATAAAGAATCTAATTACTGAGCACAGATGAACAATATATTACAGGTTCATCCGTGGTAGTAAAGAGTAATTCTGAAGAACACAGTGATAAACTTGTGTGCTGTTTGGAAGGGGAAATATAATCACTCCATTTGAATCCAGAGGTTATATATTTAATTTAAAATAAGGTGGGCCTGATACATACAGTAGGATACTTTCAAAAAGTGCCACAAAGTAGGTAGCTTGTCACAGCTGGTATTCATTATGTTCCTTTTTTGTGTGGAACTGGGGATTGAACTCAGGCCCTTGCGTTTATTCTACTGAGCTATCTTCCCGGCCCCATTGTTCCGTGTTTTTAAAACAAGTAGAGACACTTCTGAAGGTTTTTTTTTGTGTGTGTGTGTTTTGGGGAATGGTGTACAGGGTGCTTAGGGTGTCACTACTAGATCGGACTCATAGTGATCCACCTGTTTACTGCCTTCCAAGAGCTGGGATTACTTTTGAAGTTTTAAAAGGTAGAAGTTTTATGCTCTGTCCTCTCAGTTAGAAAATTGATTATAAGTGAGCTGGACATTAATCTGGTGGTAATGCTCCCGATCAAAAGCACTAGCAACCATCTTAACCTTGAACGCTTATGTGGGCTCAAAAAGTTTGACTATTTGTATGTTTATGCTAAGAAAGAATTATTGAATTCTTCATTTTTAATCAGATAAAGAAGAGATTGGGGGTAAAAGGAAACATCTTTATTTTGATATATTTTCACTTGAGGCATTTAATTCTCAGTTTTCTTGTGCTTTGTTTTAAAAATGAAGCATTCAATAAAAAACCTAGACACAACTTTTTTTTGAGACTGGAAATCTCAGTTTTTCATTTTTTTTGTGGGTATTCTCTGTAGAAAGCTTTTGTTGATCTTAAAAGTGGTTGGAAACCCTCAAAATTAAAAAAAAAAAAAAATAGCCCTCCTGTTAATCACAGCCATGGTCGGTTAAAGATACAACTTCATCATTGGGTTTAGGGAGAGGAATGATTGATTGCCTGATAGGTTTCTGCCTGTTTGTGTATCCATTAGTATTTTATTTCTGCTCAGCTGAGAATCAGGCACTGATCCTCTGGTCCTTGGCTGACTTGATGCTTAGTCATGGAGTTGAAGGCAGAAAAATATTTGAACATCTGAACTGTCAAAACAAAAGTTGCACTGGAAAAGTTAAACAGACAAGGAAGATTTTATTCAAGACTTTCATCAGGAGAGAGCTCAGAAATTTGGAATCAACTCCTTTGAAACAAGAGGTTTTTAAGTTGTTTCTAACCAATGGTATTGACAAGTAGGAAAGTAATAGAGGACTTATGGGGAAGGTCAACTAATGGGTATATTGAGCACATTCAGTTATTCCTGAGTTTGTAACTCTTGTCTCTGTGACTAGGCCATGTATGTTTGTTAACTTGTGCCAATCAGAATTAGACTGTATTCTCCCACAGTAAGCAGGAGATAGGCACCGTCTTCTTGATGACTGGCTTCTCAGAGGGATGGCTCCTAAACCCTTGAAGATGTTCTTGATGGTAAAAGTAGTGTTTTTTAAAAAATGACTTTCATTACTTACTTGTCAAAGAGGTAGAGAAAAAAATTATAATTGTACTTTTGTGAAGTAATTAGTCTACAAAAAGGGAGGTTACGACTTTGTGGCACACAGCAGACTAAAGCTAGGGGGATGTTAAGGCCTCCATAGTCTGTATAACTGTACATATTTTTTAAACTTAAAATACTTCAAATCCTTGTTACTCTGCCTGTTTCAGGTCATTACTAAACACTTACCTGGCTTTCACTGTGATACTTATTAAAATGTTATTCATTTTACAGTGGTCTAGAACTACATATAAGGTGATAGTCTGGAGATATTTTTTGTTCCTCATAATCTCACCTAATTTTCTCACTGTAGTCTGGAGATATTTTTTGTTCCTCATAATATTCACCTAATTTTCTCACAGTCAATTTTTCTGTTATTCTTTAATTTTCCATTTGTTAATAAAAATATAATTTAAAAATTCTAGTTTTATAGGATGCATTGTACACAGCATGCATGAAAGTAAGTATTCAAAGTTGGGATTGGTTCAGATTTTGGAATCTTTGCTTGCACATAAGGAGACATTTGAGAGATGGAAGTCTATGCACAAAACTGGTTTCATACACAACTTATACACATAGCCCAAGGTAACATTATGAAATACTTTTTATTTATGATCCATCACTTGAGGTCAGGTATCTATTTGTGGCAGCATATTGGTTCCTTTTGTGGGTTTTTATTAAGCAGACTATCTCATGTGTCTTAGAACTAAGCATTATCAAGACTTTTTTTTTGTTTTGAGGACAACAGTGGTATGGAGAACTACACATTTGTTCTAATTTGTTAGCCATTAGCCACCGGCGTATTATTATTTGAAGTGTGGCCAATTTGTACTACATCAGCTATGCTGGGCCAGTGGAGTAGGGTGCTGACAGATGGGAGAAAGTATTCAGAGATGGCTGAGAGATCAGAGTTATTTAAGGATCAAAAGGAAAAGGTACGATTGAACCTTCCTAAAAGAAAAGGATAGTCCAGTAGTGGTGGCCTGGACAAAATGTTAGCAGACCATACCAAGAGTGTCAGGGAGAAACAAGCTGGACTAGTTAAATGCCAGAAGGTCTTAGGCAGCTGGCCAAACAGGAAGTTGCTAGTGTCTTGTGGTGGTGGGCTAGAGAGGAAGTCACGAGGTTCTGAGGACCAGACAGGAAAACAGTCAAAAGAGCGCTCGCAGGACAGCATCAGGGTCGGTTAGCTATAGCACTCCCCATGCCCCTTTCTGCACCCAGTTCTTACAGGGAAGGGAATTTGCAGATTTAACTGCACAGCAGTGATGCCATGACCTTGCTGTGCTCCACTGTATGCCCGCTATCCCACGGAGCAGCTGACTTACCAGGTGGGCAGGAAGGCCGTTTCTTTAAGTAACTCTAGTTTAGCCATTTTCAGCCTCCCTCAGATTACACCTTTTGGACATTACAGTTCCCAATGACTTGCAAATCCCCTTGACTTGGGAACATATGATGCTAAATGCCCCAGATTCTTCTGAGACAACATAAAGTCATCCTGGATTTGGAAAATTTAGTATGAAAAGAAAAAAAAGTTATCTCAGTAATTCTTATGTTGATTTCATATCGGAATAATATTGTGGTTATACTGAGAAAAGTTAAACTTATTAAATTTAATTTCAGTGGCCCTTTTTGCTTTTTCAACAGTCACTGAAAAAATTCTAATTGCATGTAATGTACATTTGTGGTTCTTATTATATTGTTGCATAGCATTGACTCCAGATCCCTTATGAGTAATGCCTTTTGTATATGGCTCATCCATATATAAAGATATTTATTTGTTAATTACATAAGTTGGAGCTTTAAATTTGCTTGTTTAGCCAAGAGCAAGAATTTCTAATCTAGCTGTGACTCTGGCCTAAGTTACACAGATTTATCTTTGTGTTCACCCCATTTCCTCCCTTCACTTTGCCAGCCCTTCTAGTCACACAGGGCACTATGCCAGAACTGGAAACCTCTTAGAAGGTCAGAATACTCTTTTGTTAGCTCTCAATTGTATTGCTTCTCAAGTTTCTTTAAAATTAAAACTACTTCAACAGTAAGCTTCATAATTATGTCACAGGCTCACCTGTGAAAGGTGTGCAGCCTCTTAGCAGTAGCTAATTTTCCTTTAGTGCATCTCATTCTTATGTTGAACTTTCCAATTTCTTATTCATGAAAAGCTGTAACATATGTTAATCCTTTGCAGGTGGAGTAACTAACACAGCACAGTATCAGAACAGATTAATGGTGTATGAACCTAACCAGGTAAGAATCACATATAAAGAGCTTATTACTTTAATTAAAATGAATTTTAAAAGACTTCCACAGGACTCAGTAATTGGAATGCCAAGTGTATACATATATACATGCTTATTTGGAAGGAAGCATCTGGGTAAACTGACTTGTGGTTTCTATTTTATTGTTAGAAAATTTGCACTCTAGTTTTATGTTATGCACAATGCCTCACCACTTCAGTTTTGCATACCATAGGAAAGATTTTGATTGTTCTATCCCTGTGTCCTAGAAGGGGTGCTATTTTAGGAAGGCAACATGCTTGTAGTTTAGTATGCAAATAAAATATCATTAACTTAAAGTAATCAAAGTGTTCTGTAGTGATACCTGGGAGATATCCAAAGTCAGGTATCTGAGAAGCTGGAGCATACATTCCATGTTAACAGTGAGGGACTGAATTAGAAACACTGACAGTGCCAGCCCTTTCTTCTATCCACTGCTCATGCATATTTAATGACTTCTTCCTCAAAAGAAGAAATATTTTTATTCTTTTTTCTTGCTACCAAAATATATGACTTTGGCAGATGTCTGCTGAATTTTGGCATTTCTAGGATTTGGAAAAAGTAAACTTTTTTTATTATGACAATATCCTGGTGGACTTGGAGGTTTAGTGTTCATCAGCTGAAGGGCCTGAATTGGGATATAAGACAATAGGTTGACCTTGGCAGTCCGAGCCTGGTCTGGCCACCAATGTCCAGAGTGCACTTAGTGTAACTGGTATTTTCCTGCTTTAATAATTACTTGACTCTAAATATGAAATTATTTTTCACAAACTATAATTCCTGAGGGTATTTCTGAAGCTATAAATTTCATACAAGTATCCACTAGTCGTGTATCTCAAAAGGGATCATTATTTTCTCGAGTTGGGTACACACAGGGTTAAAGAGAAAGGAAGGTATTAACATTACTCAGATGAGCTGTTTCATGTTTGTACACACAGGCTCTTTTTAAAAATTCTGCTGGCATACTGTTTACGGTGGGTACTGGCAAACATCACATCTGCTTGCATCTTGCTCAGAATCTCAATAACTCTATCACTCAGCCCTGGTGCTTATTTCTCTTCTAGGCCTTTGTGGAGAGTCGATAATGCCTGCCATCTGCCACAGAGCACACAGCTACCTGCCAACAGGCAGGCAGGGTGACCTCTGCCTCCCCACCACTGATTAGCATTCACATGCTGGCTTACCAGGAATGACCCACCAGGCCTCTGTCTCTTTGCCTTTGCAGTGGTTGGTGGCTCACCTGGCAGGCGCTGCAGTAAAGGAAGCTCTAGTTGGGGGAGGTAGGCAGGGCTTGCATGCCAGATGGCATCTATAGTCTGTGGCAGGGGACTAGACTGCTAATGTAAACACTGTGTCCTAACAGCGTAATAGGTTGTCTCCTAGACAGCACCTAAGCAAAGCACCATCAGAATTTTAAATTTTACTCAAGTATAGTGCATTAAAGGTATTTCTTAGCAAAATATCTAAAAACAAAGCTTAAGCATTTTATTAAGAAATATGTGTTGGGAAGGCTATTCTTATTATATATTAAAATAGGGGACAGATAATCTCCAAACTACAATTTTTTTTCTTTAAAAGAGAAACTAGGAATGATGCAGTATATATGCCTGTAGTAAATATATGCCTAAACTATACATGCCAATGTTTGCAAAACATGTTTGCTGTTTCTTTCCTCACAGTTTTGTGAACTGGTGAAATTCTGTGTATTCAAAACATAAGATTTTTCTGGTTGAAATCCAAATTTTTCTTGGCAAAAAGGAAACTGAATTCTTCCTGTATGTTTAGTGTTTATGTAGAAAGAAAATGTTTGTTTACCTGTCCATTTCTTGGTATACTTACCAATTACTTAGTTTAGATTTAAAGTCTTAACTGATTTTTATCTAATTTTATAATTTATATTACACTTAAAGCAGGAGCCTTACTTTAAAAGGGGCTGAGCATACCCTTCTCATTACTGATGGTGTCCTAGAACTAAATATTGAAGGTTTCATTATTCTCTGAAGTTCTCATACACAACTTGGTTTTATACTAATACAAATGAATAGGGGCCGAGAACTTCTTACAGTCTGGCAGATATACTAGTAAATGTTACACTGTGAATTGTAAATATAATATGGAAGCCGATAAAAAGAAAATGTGGGAAGTTTGTTAATTAAATCTTATCCACAGATCTCAGGTGAATTTGGAAAGTACAGCAAAGCCACTCTGACCTGAGTTTATCTAGTAGCCCCAGGCACCTAATTATTATTATAGGTTTTTTTTTTTTTTCTTTCTTTCTTTCTTTTTTTTTTTGTAGTACCAGTAATCAAACTTGGGACCTGTGCTTGCCTGGCAGGTGCTATGCCAATGAACTATAGCCCCAGCCACTATTACAGTATTTTTTAAAAAGTGAACCTGTGTTGGACATTTTTCTAAGTTCTTTATGTTTCTTAGCTCATTTAATCTTCACAACAGACTTTATTTTAGATAGGTATCATCCTCATTTTATATATAAATAAGCACAGAGAGGCTAAAGAAAATGACTTAGGATCAGGTAACAGCAATTCTGGATCTAGAGTCTGTTTACTTAAACATTATATCACTAGTCACGGTATACCAAGCCAGCGATTTTCACTCTTAATTTTCATGTAAAAATCCTCTGAACTAAGAGAACAATCTTGAAAAATTCTAATGTTATCCCTTGTAAAATTTTTATGCTTTGACCACAAAATGCAAATAGAATGTGGTTGATAAACATTAGTTTCTGCTACTAATGAGCCACCCACTGCTGTTCTCTGCCAAGTAGGTATCCTATTAACAGAACACACTTGAATTTCATTTCTCAGAATAAGTGGATAAGCCGTAGCCCCATGCTGCAGAGAAGGGTCTATCATTCCATGGCTGCTGTCCAAAGGAAGCTTTATGTCCTTGGAGGCAATGACCTTGACTACAATAATGACCGGATCCTTGTGCGTCACATAGATTCCTACAACATTGACACTGACCAGTGGACACGTTGTAATTTCAATCTGCTGACAGGCAAGTATCTTTGATTAGTTAAATGAGAAACAAGTAAATTCAAGAAGTTGTCTAACTTGTTTTTCTTAGATACTTTTAATGCCTTTCTATTAAGTGCAAAATGGGTCAAACAACTAGCTTTTGTTAAGCAGAAAGTTGTGTATTACTACCTCACAACAAAATGACTTGGAGTGGCTGGGCACATAGTTACTTGGGGCCTGAATTACTTTTATGCACATTCTCTGTGACCAGAAGAGGCATGTCTTTGTCAGTCAGTATTTAATTCAGAGCTTTGATACATGCAGGAGGAACAAGATACTGAGTTAATAACTACAGAAACAATTTCGTTTTTGTTTAGTTCCCCTTTATCTTTTGAGTTTAGAGCAGTGGTCTTCATTATTTGTCACTATCAGTCTGTGTAGTCTTCTAGAAATTAAACCTTCCAGTAGATATGTTCAGAGGGGTTTGTCTGTGCCTCTAGCCACACATTCCCATGTAAACATTTCCATAGGGCAATCCTAGGCATGGCCCAACCTTGTCCCAAAGAGAAATGAAAAAGCAGTAAACAACATTTCTGGTGTTTCTATATGGAACTGACAACTTTTTCCTTGTCATCTTGCATTATTATTATTTTGTATTTAGTACAGGGTCTACAGGGTCTCACTACATAGATCAGACTTGTGATCCTTCTGTTTGCAGCCTCCCAAGCACTGGAATTACAGGGGTGTGCCATCATACCCAGTCGCAATCTCCCTCTCAGTTTGCTCTGGTGGTGTGGCCAGCATGGCATGCTGGAGATAGAAACCTGGTTCTTGCATCTGCCTAAGCAGGCGCTTTAATCTGCTGAACTATCTGGCTGGCCCACCTTGCATTACTGACCACAAATGATCAGTCCTTCCAGGCAGGGCTGCTAAATAACAGAAAAACTACTCAAAACATTGGGTTAGACTAGGTTTCTGAAGATATTTTAATATGCAGAGTGGGTATTCAATCACAGTTGCTGCTGGGTAAAGCAACATTCAGAGCATAATCAGACATTTACTTAGATATTTTGTGGTATTATTCTGCAAAATGATTTTTGAAGCCCATGCTGAGTATTTAGCTCTCAGTTGTATTGGTGACTCAGACCCTCGATCCCTCGATCTGGGATTCTGTCTGCTATAAGATCCAGCTTATTTATTACTCTAGCCAGTGCTGTGCCAGCTCATCAATAAAAAGACTCTTTTACTCTCTGATGGCCTCCAGGGAAGAATATGTGGTAGTGAGTTATTATGTCTTCTTTTTTGAAATGGGAGGAGAAACCCTTCATCATTTTGGCATCAGTACCTAGGGATTATCCAGGCTAGTCCCTGCTCAGGAACTTTAATATAATCTTAAAACTGTTGTATATGTAAAGAAAGGCAAGGTAGCAACTTTATCATGTTTTTCCTGCCATTTGTCTTCATTTGGGCCACACTTAGGAGCATGGCTCCATTTTATTGGTCTTAGGGTTGCAGCTATTGTTTTACAAATGTAAGCACTTGTCTTAGAAATTCTGTGGGTCCAAGAAGTTGCTTTGCAATTCTAAAACACCTTATTTCTGCCACAATAAATATTATATGACATATTATAGAACTTTTTAGTTTCACATAGCTTACTACTGATTCATTATTAAGTTAGCTGGGTAATTAGTGCTCTGACCTAGTTATGACCTAACACAGATTTATTCTGTAGCAAATAGTGGCATATTTTCCCAAGTAGGAGAGGCAGTGACTAGTTGCTACAAAAATGCCATGCAGTATAAAAATGTGCCACAGGGAAAAATTCTATACCCTAGTAGCAAAAGGGTTAATTAAAACATGTGAGAAATGGATTTTTATCTTTTTATTCAACTCTCCTTACTTTAGGCCAGAATGAATCTGGAGTTGCTGTCCACAATGGGAGAATATATTTAGTTGGTGGATATTCAATTTGGACAAATGAGCCTCTGGCTTGTATCCAGGTGAGTGGTTGAAGTTTCTTTTGAAGTTTGCTCAAGTGGTTCAGTAAGGTTACATTTTGTAATGCAATTGCTGAAGGATGGAGAAAAAGGCTGTAGGTCCTTTTCCTTTTCATGCCGTTGCCTTATTTTTGTATCACAAATCATTCATTTCCATAAATGGTATTTTTTCCTTCCTGAAGTGGTGGCTGTGAACAGTCCTAGTTTCTTGCTGATCTGAAGAGGAAAGCCTGGCATGTTTGCAGGGGGAAGCCCAGGCTGGGCAAGTTGTTAATTGTTAGCTGGATGTGTCAGATGAGAGAAAAAACAAAACAAAAACAAGAAACAAAAAAATAATATGTATTATTTTATGTACCACAGTTTCCTATGTTTTCTGATAAAATATTGACAGATCTCTCTTGACATCTAGAAAAGTATATCCTAATAGCTGCACATTATTACCTAATTTCATCTTTGTTGGGAGATTTTAAACAACTGCTTCAGTTAACAGTTGCAGAACTTTGAGTTATTTTACTCTTCAGTGATCTGCTAAGGTACATATGTTAAAGAAAAATTTCTACCATGTCTATGGTTTCTAAGTTGCTAGCATGTAGTGTGTTGTATGTCCACTTACATTCACATTCATAATATTGTCTTTTTTTCTATCTTGTCAGAGGTCTGTTTGGAGATTTTATTCACACCATATAGTAGGAAAAAAAAAATCAACAAGGGTAAGGATAGATAGGAAAGCCATAATTAACAAGTTTAGCCAAATAGATGAGTTCTGGATTGAAGAATTACAATGTTGTCTTCTTAGTACACATACAACTTTGCCACAAGAGATAAGGTTAAGAAAACCTTAGCCTCAAAATTAAGTATTATACTGTTATGTTCACTAATACAATGCAATGAACTTTGAATTTAACAAAAAGTTAGCCTCTTGTTTACCTAGAAATAATAAACACCTTAATCCAAGATTAATCTACAAACTATTAACTGCCCATATACTTTATGTGCTGAAGTTACAGAAACAAAAATATACAGTAGAAAAATTATCAAAGTTGCACACAAACACACCCAGACACCCAAGTGCATAAGATTCTGAGTTAACTAAATGCAGCCTTGTACACAGCTTAAGTCATCTTTTGGCTAATAGCAAATGAACAAAGGGTTTTCTCCACAGCATCCTCCTAGTCTTCATCTAAGCATGTATGTAGCAACTTTCAGTTTTTTTAGGTTTTTTTCAATTTTCACTTTTCAGAATTGGTAAGCCATTGAATGGGGCAACAGTAAATGTTCTATTGTACTAGAAAAATTCTTCCATGTTTTTGGGATCTTACACTTGACCAAAATAACTTTGTGTTTATCATGAAGAAAATTTGTAAATTTGAAATCACTGAGGATATTCAAGGGTATTCTCAGGATTAAAGTGATCTGAAGGGAGTAAAAGTTTCAAGCAGTGACTGTATTAGTGGATTAAAAATCGTGAATTGCTTTTTCTAAGAGTCAGCATATGGGTAATGTACGCCAGTTAGCCATTTTGATGAATGGAATAAATCCTCTTGCAAATTGTTTATTCTCTTGGCTAGCATACTAGTCCTACAAAGCAGAGATAAATCTGACAAATGCTTTAAAGAGCTTTTACTGTTAACAGATAATGTAACCATATTGGCATGATTGTTAGAGATATTTGAGGCAAAGGTCATACATTATAGATTAATCATTTAACTCATATCTTACATTTTAGTTATTGACTGAATTAAAGCTTAGCTATTTTATATTATATTATGGGTTTTACAGATCTATTTTGGTGCACTTAACAGCAATATAGTGATGGGGAGACTAGCTATGTAGCTAGTCTTCAAAATCAGGCCCTGTCTTTACTATTTGCTGGAAGAATATCAACAGAGAAGCAAGTTAATGGGAGACTGGAATAGTGTTGATGAGAAAATGTCTAGAATAGAAATTCCTAAGTATAAGATAGCAGATTGAAAAGTGCAGAGTGGTGGGAGTGAAAATTGTATGCATACTAGCATCAGAATTTGTTAAATTTTTTTTGTCTTAAAAATAATTGTCGGGGCTGGGGAGATAGCTCAGTGGTCTAAGCGCCTGCCTGGCAAGCACAAGGACCCAGGTTCCATCCCTGGTACCCCATGCTGTGCCAGCCCTGGAACCCTGGGCGTGGTAGTGTACACCTGTAATCCCAGTACTTGGTAGGAAGAGACAGAAGGATCACCATGAGTCTGAGCTGAGTAGCAAGACCGTACAAATACATAGATAGATATAAAATATACTCAATCTATTACAAGCTGTTAACCCAAGAACATAATAATTTATTAAAGACCATACTCATAGTTCAGAGATTGTCCCATCAACATCAATAAAAATTAAACTCGTTTTATGCTTTTGAACACACGAGCCAATGTGTCAATAGAATGCTCCTTCTGGACCTTAATCCAAATTTATGGAACAATCATTTGTAGGACTTGGTCATGTGGAACATGCATGTGAGATATTAAGAAAGTATACTATTTCCTGGTATTGCTCTGATTTGGTGCAGAGTCTTAACTCATCACAAGGCTGACCCGAATGGGAAAAGCTGACATGCTTTCAAATTAATACTTGTTTAAAGAATGAGATTTAGACTTAATCATAAACTCATGGGAAATAGAAGAAACAGATTCCTGACAACAGTGAAGGTGCGCTAGTTCATTCTGTGGAGGCATGAGGCAGTGTCTGGCGCCCAGGTCCGGCTCTCGGCTGGTGTGCCACGGTGACAAGCACACAGCAGGGAGCAGCCGCACCGGTGTGCCAGCCATCGGTCTGTGCCCAGGATCACTGGTTGTCTTCATTCACTATCATTTCCTTGTGGAGGGCGCCAATCTGGCACTGCCTTCTTCCAAATGCTCCTTTCTGCCAGTTTACAGGGGAGTGTTTTGGAGAAAAACTGCCAATGCTTCCTTTTCCCTTCTCAGATTAAATACATTACATCTGCTTAACATATGCAGTCTCTGTTGGCCCAGGGTACCAGACAAAAGCTCTCTCTATGATTATCTCAGTTATTTTGCCTCCTATAAATATATTCAGTTGTGGGGAGGGATGTATTGAAGGCACTGAGTCCTTGCTCTTTCTGGACTGCCTCCTTGAGCTCAAATGCTGGGCTCTTCTACCACTTTCTAGCCAAATTACTTTCTTCTCTGTAAAATGAAGACAACAGTTAATCTTAAGATTTCTGAGAAGTATGAAATGCTTTCTACTTTCTATAGTTAATAGTATACTAATAAAAATTCCATTGAAATTTTCCTTATTTTCATGGAGTAGATAAGTGATACTTGTGACATTGATCATAAAATTTCTCTGGGAGAGCATAAATGTATTTACTTATTTTTATGTATTTGCTACAGGGTCTTACTACAGAGCTTGCACTCATAGTGATCTTTCCATGTTAGCCTCACCAGTGCTGGGAGGTGGTGCACCTCCCCTAGGGGGGTTCACAACCGCACCTACGCACACCTGGAGGCAGGGCTGGCACGGCATGCAGTGTCAGGAATTGAGCCCTGATTCCTGCACTTGCCTAAACAGGTGCTTATTCTGCTGAGCTATCTTGCCGGCCCGAGAATGAAAAAAAAAAAAAAAAAAAAAAAAAAAAATTGAAACTAGATGGAGACTTGCCTTGCCTAGTCAAAACTATGTTATTCCTGAATAAAGATATGTAAGTTAATGAGAAAATAAAATTTATATTTAGTATGTAAGTAATATTTTAAATTAGTAGTACCAGGGTATGTTATTCAATAAACAGACTATGACAGCTAACTGTTCATTTGAGGAAAAAACCTAAACATCTAAGGATCATTCATTCTAGGACTTTTATGAGCTTGGATACCCAAATTTCAAAAGCTTCTTCCATCTAAAATAAAACAATGAATTATTGCAGTTAGAGACTTAAAAGAGTTAACTATGCAGGTGATAAAGGCATGAGCGCAGACAAAATTATTAAAGGATGTCAAGAGGTCTGGTGGGAACCCTGGGGGCCAGCAGCTGTATGCAGGGTGCAGGGAAGGAAATGGGACCAAAGGTGTGCAGCGAAATGGCAATGTCAACGGCCGGTTTTTATTCATTGTTAAATTATGGAATCCAAGGGAGGCAAGGTGTTAAATCAAGTTAGCAGAAAATCACATGAAGAGAGATTAAGATAACTGAGGGTGGAAAGAGCCTGATGGTTTTGACAAAGAAAGGACAGTAGTTTCCCAAAGAATTTTCCCAGTAGTAAGATTATACCAGATTCAGCTAGGTGACTGCAGGCACTGATGAACAAAGAAGCTACGTCAAACAACAAAAGAGATAGAACTCCAGCTTGAAGTGGAAATTCCCAGAAACAACTAATCAGATTTTGAACCTGCTGCAAAACTGTTGCAACAATCTACTTTTTACCAGATGTTTAGCTAGATGCCACCAATTTTCACAGTACAGCTGCAAGGTCTTGATTTCACAGATGAAGATTTGTAAGCCAGGATCATAGTATGACCTACAATTACAAGTAGTTTGAGTGTAACTAACCAGTCAAGGGGAATTATATAATGAAAATAAATATCACCTACCTTATGTTCTGAAGATGAAGTGATTATAAGCACACAGTGGCTGTATGTGTGGACACAGTATAACACTTAGTAGACTTAGAATCTTTCTAGGATGGAAAACCACCAGCAATCCTGAAGGTACAGTAACGGGGGCGTAACTGAGTTTAAATTCAGGCTTGCTTTTATATGTATGCAGCTTTGCATAATCCTCTCTTCTTTTGCAGGTATTAGATGTAAGTAGAGAGGGCAAAGAAGAAGTGTTCTATGGACCTACACTCCCTTTTGCTTCCAATGGAATAGCAGCATGCTTCCTTCCAGCTCCGTATTTCACATGCCCTAACCTTCAAACTCTTCAAGTGCCTCATCACAGGATTGGCACCGTCTGAAAATAACCCTCATAAACAGAGGAGAAACAGCAGTCTGTGACTTTTGGATTTTGGGGATGAACAGCCTGAGTGCTCAATGCGTCCTTGTCTTGTTTTGTATCTTACATTCAGACAAATATTAGCAAAAAAAAAAAAAAAAGTTTTCTAAAATACACCATTGAGAACTCTTGTCACTCTTCTCAGTGTATGTCAACATACAATATGTATGACTTGTACTGTGGTATAGCTTAGTGCCAACTTAATGGCACATTATTGTCTCGTGTGTCTAAAGTATTCTTTGTACACTCTTTCTAATGAGCGCTATCTAGGACAACTTGACACTGTTCTTAACATAATTTATTTCATACAATGGCATCAATGATCTTAAAATCTTCATATGTTGTACTGATACATGGGCTTATAATTTTTCTTTCTTTAAAATTTAACATTATGCAGCCTTGCTCAGTAGATTCGGCATTTTGACACCATAAATTTTTAAGTTCCATATTTTATTCAGGGTGATAGAAACAGAAGCACACTGGAACAGCAGCTGGAATACCCATATTTTTCCCTTGGTTACTGACCTTGAGCCAGAACTTTTAACTTTGCAGCACATCAGTTTTTCCATCTTTTAAGGAGGGTAATTATTAGTTCCCATATTAATTCAGAAGAATGTCATGAGGATTAGGTAAATGTCCTGACTTTGCCAAATTTAAAAAAAAAGTTATTAAATTCTAAGGTATTTTATTGTCTTGAGAACTCTATGACTGAGTAGGAGATATTTTTAAGTTCAGAAATTATTAGTTTTGAAAACAAGCTATGGGATTCTAAAAAGCATGTGAAAAAGACTCAGCTTTCCTAAGTAGGAAAAGGATACTTACCAACATCAGAGACACCTGAACTTCTATAAATCTTTGCTCAAATAAAAATAATTCTCTTAAATATCTCATTTTAAATCACTTAATGAAATGATATTTAAAAATTTTAAGAAGCTGTACTAATTATGGTAACATAAAGTACTTAGACATAAATTTGAACCCAGAATTGGCAGTTCTAATAAAAGTTTTCCACTTTGTTAAAGAGTATGTGAGTCTTGAGTGCTTTGGGATTCTTTACCACCACCAATATATATTGTATTACTGTCACTTTTAATAATACGTAAGAATTTTTTTACACTAGGTTTTTGGGTTGCTGTATTCAAAACAGTAAAACAACTCCATAATCACATTTGAACATACATTAAGTGTAAGACAGGTTTTCTTCCTCCAATCTCACCAGGACATAAGGTCATCTTTATTAAAAGGAAAACTAGTTTTACTGCCCTGCCCCCCCCCCCCCCCCCCCGCAGTCTAATCATTCAGGGAACTGAAATTTTATGCATGTAACCATTTTTAGTATAGCTAGTGAAATGAATGAAGAGTGAAAATAAAATCTTGTCTTAAGTACAGAATTTACTAACTTTAAAATATAAGTGACTTATTCAGATTAAAAAAAAAAGTGGGTACTAAAGGCAAGGAAAAGCAGATTTTAAAAGGACTAAAAAGTAGATAAAACTCTTAAAAGCTGAACAGTGAAAATGGATTGGTAACATAGAACGAAGACTGTTTTTTTCTTTAAAAGGTAGATCAGCTACCTAAATTTTATTTTCTTTTATTTTAGTTTCTGTATTTTAGGGAAGGGTCTACAGGGTGTTCTGGGTCTTACTACTAGATTGCACTTGGAGGGATCTACCAGTTTACAGCCTCCCAAGAGCTGGAATTACAGGTGCGGGGACGGGCCGGCACGGCAGGCCCAGGGATCAAATTCCTGGCCCTGGTACCTGCTTGCAGGTACTTTAATCCACAGAACTATTTGGCCGGCCCTAGGCCACCTGAATTTTAAATATCTCAGCAAGTCAAGAAAAGGGATGCAAGCTTCTTTTTTGCCATTTTTATCTTATAAAACAATTAAAAATCTATCTGTACTCACAGATCCTCCCCCTCCATCTGATGAATGAAAGCAAAATGATCTAAAAATAAGTTTGCCTGATTGTTAATGGAAAGATAGCCTGACATTACCCTTGATTATTCCTGTGTAGATTTCTGACTTCATATAAAACAAATCAGCATGTATTATCAAATCCCTTTTTGGTGATCTTTATTATGTATTATTCATTTATGTTACAGAATTGAACTCACAATTTTAGGATGTTTTGCCTAGAGTTCAAATACATCCTTCATAGCTATAGCAAGAGGGTAGCATCACAAATATGATGTTCCTTTCCTAAAAAGAACACAACTCAGATGACTTAAAATTAGAACTGTTCCTCAAAATTATAACAGAAAAATATTTACAGGTTATATTCGGTCATGTAGGTCAAATTCTGTTGAAACTATCCTAATACTATATATTTTCTGTTTAAGTGAAAACACCCATTTGATTTTAATTTCTACAGAAAACTTTAAGATTCAGCAGCCATTTAATTAGCACTTCAAGAATTTACTTTAAAAAAGAAAACGAAAAGTAGTTCCACATGTACCTTAATATTCTTGGTATGGAAGAGAAACCAGTTAAGACATTACTCTCTAAAGTGATGTATATATAGAATGCAATAAAATTCCTTACATATTTTAAAAATGTCATTTAGATTATTACCAGGGTACTTTTCATTTTCCTCATATGTTAAATGAATATATATTATAACAATAGCTGAAACATTCTTTTACTATAAAGTATAAAACATCACATTATGGGTTGGGGGGCTTTTTTGTTTCTTAATACTAAACTGTTTACAAAAGGGAAGTTGAGTAATCATGGGCACCAGGCTAGTCTATATACACTTTTCTTTAATGTGTGTGCATATATATGTATGTAAAGGCACACGAATGCCTTTAATTTTTATTCTATGTACAATAACTTTTAAATACATATAAAATAATGTCTAGAATATTTCCAGAAGCACAATTCACAAATACAATAATTAGATAATTTTAAATATGCCCAAAGTTCTAATAAGTAGAAGCTGGCCAATTACAGTCATTTACTAGTGCTTTTGGTAAACTTACTATATAGGTTACCACAATGTAAAAATACAACTGTCATCTCTGAAAGATGCTACTTTGGTAGCTCACCAAATTTTAACCAACTACAACATGTTATTGGTAACAGCATACTATACTGTCATGTAATAAGGCAATATTTGTAACTGTAGGAAGGGTAGGCGGAAATGTTTTTGGAACATGTAAATGTATGTAAAAAAAAAATCTTCCAATCAAACAACAGTGGCTTAGTCTAACAATTCAATTTTTGTTGAGGTATGGTATTTACCTTTTACCTTTGAAACCTGAGTGCTTATAGCATGTAGGATTTAGGGAGCGTAATTTTCTAAAGACCTTCCCCAAATGCAGAAACTCCAATTTTTATATTCATTATAATTTGTTAAATACCATGTGAGACAACACACCAAAAGACCTGCTGTGATTCTCGTCAGGCAAACATCCCAGAATGTACTTATACAGACCTACTGGGTGTAATTCACTCACTGTGGCCTCCTGATGCTCAAGAGATGTGGTAAACATTAGATGTATGAGGCTGCTGCCAGTACAAAATAACATACTGTTTTACAGTAAACATTTTTATAAGTAGGAAAATTTTAAAAGGAGAAAAAGGAACAGAAAATATATAAAATATAAACAGAAAATATAATTGGTAATGTAGTTATTACTAGTAAGCGTCATATGCTACACATAACTGTTGCTAGACTTAGGACTGGTGGTGCAGGTTTGTTTACATTAGCATCACTACACATGAGCAATGTGTTGGCTGCGACAATATAAGATCCCTGTCGCTAGGCAACAGCACCTCTTACTCCATTACAACCTTATGAGATCACCTTGGTACATGTGGCCTATCACTAACTGAAATGTCATTATGTAGCATATGACTATATGGCTAAGAAGAAAATATAGTAGGGATAAAGACGTACAAACTTTAAACTATGTCTTCTCATGCACATGAACTCAATATTGAACAGTTTTTGCACAGATCCTTTTTTCCTCCCCCATGGAAATGTAACTGTTAAATTGAGATTTAAATCATCAGCAGATCTTAGTGTTTAATAAAGTGTTTTTCATCATTCTGTGGCCCTTCAATAATCTTGTATACTCAACTTGATATTTTTTAGATTCTATTTGCCTGGAAAGCTCACATGTCCAGAATGGTTATTTTTTCTACTTAAGTATTTTTAAGTTTCTATCTAAATGAAATGTATCTAACTTTTATATGAAGAGATGGTGCTCCAATCTGACATGAATGAAGCTGAAAACAGAATGAATGTGGCTTTCAGAGAAAGCAGCTGAGTCTTTTGTTTGGAAAGAGTTAAGTTTGAAAAGGTCCAGGCACAGCGCCATCTCCAGACTGACAGCTGTGAACATCTCCTTGTAAATAATGCACTACTGGAGGTCCTGCCGAAAAGAAAAGTAACGTGAGAAAAGGAGGATTTTAGGCACACTAACTGCTCACGTGTGTGTCGAGTACACTGTAGGAAAGGGCGGCAGAGGTCAAGAGAGATTGTAGTGCCAGACAACAGACAAGACAGGGCAGGCCACATAGCCTAGTGGACTGAAGCACCTGCTTAGGCAAGAGCATAGTGGCCAGGGTTCAATCCTGTGCTAGCCCCGCCGATGGGGAGCACTGAGAAGGAAACAGACTGGGCATGGTGATCCCAGCACTTGGGAGGCTGAGAGCAGGAGAATCACTAGGAATCTGATCTATGTCGTGAGACCCTATACACTCCGCAGACCCTGTCCTAAATATAGAAAAAAATAAATAAAAATGACAAGACAAAAAACTAAACCCCTCTCCTTTGAGAAAGAATTTATTTCCCTACTTCCTATTCTTTTATTCTGTTCTTACTCTTATTTTACTCTTTATTTTTACTGAGTTATATAAGAGAATCTATGTAATAGTTCAACTTGTGTGTCTGGTTTCTTTCACTTAATATTATGGTCTCAAGGTGCATCTATTTTCTTACAAATGACTAGTTTATCCTTAATGGCACAGTAGTACTCCATAGGAAGGGGAGGGGTAAGGAATGATTAAAAAATGAATTGGGCTATATTATACACATATAATACTCCATACAAGGAATGTAAACATATACTAGAAAATATACATCCCCTCCCCAAAAGGAAAGTAGGGGGGGTCAATCGGAGTGGCAGAGGGGAAAAGGGTTAAAAAAAGTTCTCTTTATGTACATGTACTGACTCATCCAAAGGAGTGTAAACAAGATGTACTATACACATATACTAATAGAAAAAAATTCAACAATTTAGATGCAAGGGAATACAGAAGGAGAGAGGGAGTGGATGAGAGGGAGTGAGGAAGGCAAAGGAGAGGAGGGTGGGAAGGGACAAGAGGGGGCACTCCTGTGCTGAGGATGAACTAAAAGAGGGGAAGGATGCCTGGAAGTTCCAAGAGTCAGTCATGAGAGGGAAAGCCGGGGCCAGTCTAGAATAAAATGACACAGAGCTGGACAGGCGGCCTTGGGATTTCAGTAGAATCCAACTACTGAAGGGGGGTTTAGGAAAAAAACATGTGAGAAAATACAACCAAGCACTGAAGTTATGAACCAGTACTATCAGCTCATCCCTAAAGGGACTTGAGGAGGAGCTGCGGAAAGTTACATCTTACCATCAGGGGCAAGAAAGCAGACAGTGAACTTGCTCCCTACACACAGTGTAAGCAGAAAGAGGCAGGACCCTGAGGAAGAGATAGGCAGATAAGAGAAAAATGCAAATGGTACAGAGATGCCACAGAGCTACAGAAATGAAACAATTATCTCAGGTTAGACCAAAAGAGAGTGACTTACGTTACAATGCTGAAAGAAGTAGCCTCGGAAATGACAGTATTCAGGGGGAAATGAGTATGAAGGAAAAGGGGAGTAGAAGAGAACAAGATTAATAAAATTAGTGAAGAATTTTCTAGAAAAAGAATTGAACCATAAATTTTCACGAGTTGAGAAAAGAGCTTTTTAAAATTTTTTACCTATTCGTAACTATGAGAAAAGTATTGTTATAAACTTTTTGTTTTGGGTTTTACATACAAGCTTTAATTATTAGCATCTATGGATATATGCCCTAATGCATAATTTAGTAGCAGCTTTTCCTATTTCTCAAAAATGTCCCATACTGAGAAACAAGGCGCAAGGTTCTAAAACAACATCTTTAACAATCTTCCTTGGAGGACAATACACCTCCTTAAAGGCAATGTCTTAAAGAGATGAAATTTCTTTAACTGCTACATACATAATTAGTTGAAAAAAATTCAATATTATAATAAAATGAAATTTCAGTACTAGGAAGTCTTTAAGCAGCCTTAAAAACCTTTTATTCTATTTGTGGAAGTAACGGCAGTTGATTTTAGGGGAAAACATCATTTGTATTTTGAGAAAATAGCAGGTATACTTTTGGATTCTCAAGACCACAATTAAGAGACAAGTGTAACTAGAGAACACTGTATTTGTTTAATAATTATTTCATTACTGCTTGCCATTCTGAGGATCAAACCCAGGATGTACACATTAGGCAAGAACTCTACCACTGAGCTATCCTCTGCCTCTGTTTCATTTTAGATCATACATTTTATTTATTTTTTATGTACTTAGTACAGGGTCTGCAGGGTCTCACTACACAGGCTGGACTTGTAGTGATCCTATGTTCAGCCTCCCAAGTGCTGGGATTACAGGCGCCAGCCACCACTCCCAATCTCAGCCGCCACCTCAGCGTGCCCCGGGCAGTCTCAATCACTGTCTCGGAGTGCCTTGGAGCAGGGCTGGCATGGCAAGTCGGAGCTCGAATCCGGGCACTTTAGTCTGCTGAGCTGTCTGGCCGGCCCTTTTATTTCATTTTACAGATTATTTCTTAGCCAGAACAGGTTGAACTGTTTTTCTTTTGTGGTGCTGGAGATTGTACTCGGGGCCCTGCGCATGCCAGGCAAACACTTCTCCACTGAGCTACTTGTCCAGCCCTGAATGTCTCCTTGAAAGAATGGTAGAAGATTATTATGATAAATGATTACAATCTCAAGAAAAGAGAGAACGAATCCTAAGTTAAAACATGACATACATGAAAACACCATAAAAGTGGGGTGATTCATCTAGGGTGCATCATTAAAGCAAAAGCGATCTGAGACGTGCTCCTTACTTTTATCTTAAAGGAATAACATAGCAGTCACGTCTGGACACCTCCAAACAGAATACAGACAATGTGGCTGCCACCTGCCTACTGCCCAGGAAGGTGTCGCCGAGCCCGGCCCAGGCCCGTGCAGGGGACGTGCCCAGGGGCACCCGTGTGGCCCTGCAGGGCCCCAGGCCTGTGCGTCTGGACTGTGGCAGCCTGCGTGAGTTGAACTTTCACTGCCTCCACCAGATTCTAAATGGTAAAAAGCAGAGTGTCCACTTGTTACATGTGAGGAACTCGGGAACTTTGGGCAACACGGGGAGTCTAGAGGAGACCACCTATGAAAGACTGGCAGAGGAGATGTCAGACTCCTTGGCAGCATTTTTGAAGACCTCACAGACAAGCCCTACACATTGGAGGATTATGACGTCTCCTTTGGAAGCAGTGTCCTGACAATTAAACTGAGTGGAGACCTAGGAACCTACGTGATCCAACAAGCAGACCCCAAACAAGCAGATCTGGTTATCTTCTCCCTCCAGTGGACTCAAGCACTATGACTGGACTGGGAAAAAGGGTGTATTCCCACAGTAGCGTGTCCCTCCATCAAGCCTTAAAAACCAACTGAAGCCTTAAAAACCAAACGACTTGTCTTCCTTGGCCTATTCCAGAAAAGACTTGATGGCCTGCCCAGTTGTAAAGATTAAGCCCTGTGAGCCCAAGATCCCAGCTTCCTTCCACAGCTGAGTGCCTGTTATTCTCCATGCCTGCTTTTGAGGGCAGTCAGATAATGTGTCAGGCTCTGTGAAAAAATGTGTTAATGCCACGCTGCCCCAGAATCTGGTTTTTAACTAATACAGAGTTTTGTTTTGATTCTCCAATTACCTCCCTCACATGATACATCTCATCTTCAATGATGTGTTATTCCCACACCTTAATTCAGCAATAACCTTACGAAAAGAAAACAAGAAAGAAAAAATCCCAGGAGGAGAAATGAATTGTCTTCATTCTTTGAAGGATCTACTGCAAAAGCCACATGAGGAGCAGGTGGCCACCCTCACCATTCTGTCTGAAAGTGACACTCATTGAACTGAGTCTCTCCCAAAGCATTATGCTTCTGAGCCCTCCGGCACTGTCAAAAGAAACTCAAGCTGAAGACCATTCCTCCCGTGTGCTTTGGGACTTGTTGGGCTGTTTCTGTGTCAAGCCACACAGAGGACCTGGTACATTTTCTTCCATATACTCATGTATCCTTGCACACACACACCCTGCTGTGTACACACACACACATAAACTTTTTTCTTAAACTTTAAAAGCAGCTGCTGTGCTATAAGCTTGAAATCCCTAAAGAAAGATTTTTTTTCCATAAGCAGTAGGACATAGCAGCAGTGTTGTGAAGCTGAGGGGATACTGTGCACATATGAGGGACAGACACAAAGGAGATACTCAATAAAGAGCAGTGGTCCTGGACTGTGCTGCAGCCTGATACGGGTATGTGTGTGCACATATTCCCTGCCTCTGCTTTCTCATCTGTTAAGAAGAGAGTATAATTGATTCTCAACATTCAGAGGTTCTGTCTGCAACCTAGTGGGCCAGCTTGACTTCCCATGAGGTAGATGAAGTGGTGACTGGGATCAATTTGTTAAGCAATAGAGTAAATACATTGTCGAAGTACGGATCTACTAGAATTTTGACAGAAGTCATGTAAAGTACTACTTGTCTTTCATTATGCCCTCACTGTGTTAAGCCTACCACACCATATGACTGCATTTTAAATTATACATGAAGCAAAAAGATGCCAGAACATAAAACTGACTTTGAATTAAAAATAATAATGATAATACAATTAATTAAAGTAGTAGCTAGAGTGGTACAAAGTGGCTTTAGTCAGCAATATTCAATAGACAGGATAAATCATAAGATATATTACGTATTGTCATTTTCCAGTTTCTGCATTTCAAGTTGTCCCACCTGTCCCAGGTGAGATAGAAGTTTTCTATAGGTCTCCCTGTTTAAGAAGAAAGAAAAGAATGCATATTTAGCACAACACTTTAAAAAAATGCTTTATATAAACTGTAAGTAAACCTAGGCATTAGAATTTATTGTTTCAAATATAATATGGTACATATTAAATATATATTACACATATAAAGGTTAAAATTTATTTATTTTGGTACTGGAAAATGAACTCTGGACCTCACTCTTGCCAGGCAGGCACTGTACTACTGAGGTAAAATTTATTGATCATTTGAAATAACATAATAGTTACAGGTTATAAAATATGCTCACGGAATACTGCCTTAGGGTCAGTGTTAGTATGATTACAATGGGAAGGCTTATTTAAAACTTTTTAATATGTATTTAATACAGGGTCTACAGGGTCTACCTACATAGATCAGACTCGGAGTGATCTTCCTGTTTTCAGCCTCCCAAGCGCTGGGATTATAGCCGTGTGCTACCACGCCCAGTCTCAGTCACCATCTTAGTGTGTCCTGCGGGTGAGGCTCGCAAGGCAGGCCAGGGATCGAACTCCCAGCCCCTGCGTCTGCCTAAGCAGGTGCTTTAGTCCACTGAGCTATCTGCCCAGACCAATGGGAAGGCTTACTCATAAATAATATGAAACGTTTACAACCATAAAATAGACCTATAAAGCAATGCTAGTATGCACCTCATTTTTTTCACTATCTTCATAGAAGTAACAAAGTTTGAAAGACACTATTTCTATTACGTTTTCTAGTACTTTTCTCAATTTCAGATGCAATTATTACGCTCTAAGTTAAGTAACTGTATTGTTCAGAACTGTTAAACCAACCCTTTCTTGGGCCTGATGGGTACACAGAGCAAGCCCATGGGAGGATATTTGTCCCCAAACATACAAAGTTAGGATGGTTCACACAGTTTCTCCAGTCTTTTCATTCATGTTTAAAACCTGCCTGGAAGTTAGATACTACAGAATTCTTTATGTGAGGCTGTTTTGTGACATGACAGAAAACATTGTTCCTTTGAAGCTGATTTGCTTCGAAGCCTGGAATATAGCTCAGTGCTTGCCTGGCAAGTGAAAGGTCCAGAGTCCATCTCCAGGATCATTGGGAGAGAGAGAGACAGAGAGACAGAGAGACAGAGAGACAGAGAGAGAGAGAGAGAGAGAGAG